TTTCATGAAGTTTTGGAACTGTGCAGTGTATTTTATCTTCGATATTGTGTCCTTCGATATTTCGTCAAATTGCCGCCATTTTAATGGCTCGCCGCTTCTCTGTCCGATAAATGCCACTTCTCCGTTTTCATATGTATTTAGATTACAGTATCCAAGAGTACTTCATTGTAGAATAGTCCCAATCGAAAAGTTGACAACATTTGTCCCATTTGGGACGAAAAACCCTCCCGTATGGTATACGGGAGGGTTTAGGTTCAAAATAAAAAACAAGTCATTTGAAAGTCACGCGCAATCTTCGCGAAAACTTCTCGTGGACACATACAGGGGGGTGAATATTTTCACGAAACGTTTGTTCTCCACCACAGAAACATAACTAAATATATTGTATTTATTGTATTTTCATGATTCATGATAAAAAAAATAAATATTTGCGTAGTTTTGTCATAAATCATAAAAATACAATAAATACAATATATTTAGTTTTTTCTATGGTGGCGAACAAACGTTTCGTGGAAATATGCACCCCCCCTGTCATGTGTCCACGAGAAATTTTCGCGAAGATTGCGCGTGACTTTCAAATGATTTGTTTTTTATTTTGAACCCAAATGGTATACGGGATGGTTTTTCGTCCCAAATGGGACAAATGTTGTCAACTTTTCGATTGGGACTATTCTACAATTAAGTACTTTCGATACTGTAATCTAAATACATATGAAAACGGAGAAGTGGCATTTATCGGACAGAGAAGCGGCGAGTCATTAATATTAAAATGGCGGCAATTTGACGAAATATCGAAGGACACAATATCGAAGATAAAGTACACTGCACAGTTCCAAAACTTCATGAAACTTGGGTGATATACTCTTTAGCCCTTTATGATTATGTAAAAGTACAACAACTGGATTATATTTGCGAGACTCGGCGTTAAAAAGCAAACAAGACGGCAAAATAAGGCTGAAATCGTGTTTTCGTGGGGGATAAGTGAAATAAAATGTATTATATTAAAAGAAAACAATGACAATCCTGATGAAATCCACAATAATTATATTGAACTAAGCATAGTTTTTCATCCCATGATATTTTTTTTTAGGAAATAAGAAAAGTTAATTTCTGCCAGGCATATTAGTTATTTTGTGCATAATCAGCATTTTACCTGGGGTGGTGCATGGTCATTTTCTGGTAAAATATTATACTTCGACAAATTTTTCCTTCCAATGACCACCCTAAAAGCAACCCTTCTAAAGACCTTAAGCACTTCAGAAAGGCTATCGCTTTTCCCTTTCGGAAGTTAGAGCTATGTCGACACTGCCGTTTCAGGGCGGTGTTATTTTCAGGACTTTCGCCCCGGATTCAGGTTTTCGCACATATGCCATGTTGACCGCCATGGTCATTTTACCCTAACACAGTTGAGATTACCTGTCCTAAATGAATCGCATACAAACTCATATACAGGTCCTAGACTACTAGAGATAAAGTGATGTAAGTTCCGCGGAATCCGTGTATTCTCTTTACGCATCCTTTATCTTCTGTAGAATGTCTGGCGAATTGTTTTGATTAAAACCAACATCATGCTTCTTTCTTAACAGGAGTAAAATATGGGTATACCCATTTGTCAAGAGTGTCGTGGCCATCTCGTCATGGGAAAAACGCAAACAGTACAAACGAAACAGGCGAACATCGCTTTGGGTTATAATAGGGAAGATGGAAGACTCGAGATTGCAACAGTCGGCTTAGGAGGAGCATTATTTGCAATTGGCATGGGATTTGGGGTGGGCTTGCCGATAGGGATTGCTATACTGGTTGTTTTGCTCATGGGTTTTGCCAAAAACTAAAAGTTTCATGGCAAAAGAACAAAAAAGGACAATCATAGTGATTAGTAAATTATAATTTCTGTACTTTTAATCGTGTTCTTCTGTTTGCTAAAACTAGTAAAATCCCAGTCGCGTTCAAGTTTGGTTTAATTAAGTATATTAGCGAACTATAATTTTCAAGTGGCCAATAGTTTTGATTACTTTTTTAAAACAGTAGCTGCAGTTATAGCGAACTACATTTTGCCTAAAGCTACGTTTACACGCCGCGATTTGTCGGGCCGATTTTGGCAAATGAACGTTGTCCCTTCTTCGACATTTAGCGATTTATGAAACGATCAATTGAAGCTGTCCGCTCTCTCGTCTGTTCATATTATAGTTTTCTGCGTGCGAAAAGTTTTCAACAACTTTACAACGGAAGAAAAATCGTTAAATCGTGAGAAATATCTGTGCTTTGCTACAGATTTTTCTCCTGATTTTGTGAATCGCAAGGCGCTGACGCGAGTATTCACGACAAGTTATTTACATACAGCGAGCAAAATCGGCCCGACAAATCGCAGCGTGTAAACGTACCTTAAAAGTAGCCAAGTAGTTGACTACTTTCTAAACAGCTATTCGCTACTTTTTAAAATTGTTAGCAACTTGATAGAATAGCATGATATTGAGACATGGTTTGTTAAAATCAATACTCATTCAATTGTCAATTTGCACTCCTGAACAGACTGCAGTGCTTACAAAAAGTTGCTTTGTGTTTACTGTTGCTACGTATCGTAAGTCGATTTGTTATAGGTGATCACATTACAGCCGGAGTTAGTAGATGCTCCAAATACAGTGAAACTAAAAAAATAATATAGCGTAGCGAAATAACTCGCTACATTTTTAAGCTGTAGTGGTAGTCAGTAGCGAACTACCTTTGTTCAAAAGTAGCAGTAGTTGTTGCTGACTACATATTTTGGAAGTAGCTGTACTGTAGTTATAGCGAACAACAAAAATATTGTAGTCAACCGACCCTGGTAATCGACACCGCGGCACTGAGATTATGCATGCATAGTGCAGTGCTCTAACTAACTGAGCTGCAGGGTGCAATTGTCGATGTCTGACCACAAGTTCCAGTATATAATGCTTCCAGTGTATAATTGCAGCAGCCCCTGGTTAGGTCTAAAATTGTATACAATCGAAATGCCATCTACTAAAACCATTCAACTGTCAGTTCTGGTACGAAAGTATCTAAATAGTATAAAAATAGTTCAGTTTGCACCCCAGGTAATTATAGATACTAGTTACGTCAAATAGAGAGATAATGAGCATTTTTGCCGTAAAACTCAGATAAAGTATATCTCATTTCGGACTTGCGTAAGAGTGTCAATTATCTGTCCATTAGGCAAGATAAATGATTTGTCAAACTGTCAAAGTTGGACGATAGCCTTGCATGGTGGGCTGTTGTGTTTACATAATTCAAAGTCCAAGGCTGGTTCTTCTTTGACATGAAAATGTGCATGCTTAGGGCCTTTCTTTCAATCATTCTTCGGTATATTTCGCGCGGTCGAGTAATTGTGACATTACGTCATCAAAATCGTGGTTCAATAAAATTGTAAGTAAATTTAGTTTAGTAGGTAAAGTAAGGTTCACATATAGGTATAGTGTGAGGATTTTACTATGATATTTTGATAAGTATTTTAAGTTGTGAACATATTTTAACATTGATCGATTGAGCAGCGAACCGACTCGACCAGTGCGAACAACGCCTTAAATAAACAGAATGTGAGAGTTGGAAAGAGCGAGCAACGCCAACCCACACTTTTAGAACACAACGTTGATTGGCTGGATACAAATCACACCACTTGCTAGATCACGTGTAGAAAGATCCCCTCTACCGTTAGTATTTTTTGGGCGTGCACAACCCAAATTCGTCAGTGGACTCAACGAAGTAAGCTAAGCTACTATACTAATCTAGATCCCACATCGAATGATCCAAATGTGCTATGGAATGAATTTAAGAACAACTTTCTTACTATTGCTGAAAAACACGCGCCAGTTAGACAGCGTCGCGTTAAGAGTGAGCATAAACCATGGCTGACGAAAGAAATAAAGCGTTTAATGCATCATAGGGATTATCTTAAAAGACAGAGTGTTCGTTTAACATCGAGTAATTATAACGAGGCCTACAAAAGATGCAAGAATAAATTAAATAAGCTTATTAAAAAGACTAAGGAAGAATACTTTAAAACGAAGTTATCTAATGCAAATAATAGCAAAGAGAGTTGGCAGGCTATTAATGAGCTATTAAACAAAAAGCCCAAAACTACCCATGTAACACAGCTAAATGTAGATGACCAAGTTATAACTGGAGACACAAATATTGCGGACTGTTTTAATCAGTATTTTTCATCCATCGGTTGTAAACTGTCGAAAAATGTCCAAAATATTAACGTTGACCCTATGACATTTGTCACTCCTACGGAGAGTTCGTTTCATTTTTCATGTATTTCAGTCCAAGAGACTTTTGACGCCTTAAACCAACTTAATTCAAGGAAATCACCAGGACTGGACGGCATAAGCTGGCGATCAATTTGATAAACTGGTTATTTCTGGTGACTTCAACCTGCCAAACATCTCCTGGAACAACAACTTCAGGACAACTAATGCCAATGGACAACCTTTCACCGAAGTCTTACACGATCACTTTCTAACTCAAGTCAACCACTTTCCTACTCGCGGTAATAATATACTTGATCTCGTAATCACCAGCGTCCCGGAACATATCACCATAACCAATGTCGAGTCACCAGAAAACGCGATTTTCTTTACAGATCATTTGTCTCATATTCTACGAGTTTGACTCATTCATCAAAGTTCGAACAAAGAGTCACAGATACACTTATGATTACGGAAAAGGAGATTTCGATGGCTTGCGTTCCGCGTTATCGGCTAAGAACTTATGTTTGAATTTAGATCATGCAAACATAAACGACGACTGGAAAAGTTGGAAAGATACTTTTCTCGACACAGTCTCAAAGCACATACCACGTAAGAAAATCAAAGGACGAAATCCCTTACCATGGATTAATGGAACAATCTTGAACTTAATTAAGAAAAAGAACACTGTTCGAAGAAAAATGAAATTATCTCCAAGCAGTCATCTGGTACAAAAATTCAAAAAATTACGTGCAACAGTTAAACATATGCTCGTAGAAAGTCGGAAAAATTTCTTTATTTCCTTGGGAAACGACTTCGAACACAATCCAAAAAGACTTTGGTCAATATTGAAATACAAATCTAAATCGCGTAACATTCCCAACACCATTTCTTCAGCTGCGACAACAAACATCGACCAAGACACCCATTCGTCGAGAATCAGCGCTGATAAACCTGTGGATATTGCGAACATGTTCAACAACTACTTTTCATCTGTATATACATCCGACAAGTGTGCGGACGACGACACCGTTTCTCAGGAAGTCGAGCCTGTTATGACTGATCTTACTTTGACGGTCGAAGAAGTGCAGGCAGTTCTCGAAAACCTTGACAGCACAAAAGCCACGGGACCCGATAATATTCCTGCCCGTTTGCTTAAAGAGACAGCTCCTATCATCTCTCCGTCTCTGTGCATGTTATTCAACAAATCCTTAGATGAGGGTGTCCTACCGGAAGAGTGGAAACTATCAAACATCGTTCCTGTACATAAGAAAGGCGAAAGAGAATATACAGAAAACTACAGACCAATCTCGCTACTGCCAATTGTCTCAAAAGTCTTAGAACGCTGCGTTTTCTGCAACATTAAAGTCCACCTATTCCAACTAATACAGAAATCACAGCATGGATTTATTTCAGGCAAATCATGCATAACGAATCTTCTGGAAGTTCTTGAATTCATTGGCTTGGAATTGGACGCTGGAGGGCAGATTGACGCTATTTACCTTGATATATCCAAGGCTTTTGACAAAGTTAACCACGAGCGCCTCGCATACAAATTGCGCATGGCAGGATTTGGAGGTAAACTTCTCCAATGGTTTCACTCCTACCTAACTAATCGTAAACAACGTGTGACTGTCCTTGGTGCAACATCAAATACCCTCCCAGTAACTTCAGGCGTACCTCAAGGCTCAATTCTTGGCCCTCTCCTCTTTGTCTTGTACGTCAACGATCTTCCTGACGCGGTCACATCCAGCCAAGTTGCAATGTTCGCCGACGATACCAAACTATTCACCTCCGTCAAAAGAGAAGACGACTGTAAACGCCTCCAAAGTGATCTTGACAACCTGCAAACATGGTCATTAGCGTCTGGCCTCCCTTTCAACGAGAAAAAGTGTAAATCACAACGAATCACGAGAAAAACCATGCCAATCACGAACAACTACAAACTTAACACCCTAAACATACAACAAACTGACAGTGAACGAGATCTCGGCGTGTGGGTGGAGAACAAACTTACGTGGAACAAACAAGTTAACGAACAATCGACCAAAGCAAACAAGTTACTTGGATACATCCGAAGATCATCTCTGTATATCCACAACACCTCAGTCCGGCGCACGCTGTATCTGGCCCTTGTAAGACCACACCTAGGGTATGCAACACAAATATGGGCTCCACAGTCCGTTGAACTGTTGAAACAAGTCGAGCGCACACAGAGAAGAGCAACTAGATTCATCCTCGAGTTACCATTTTCCAGTACCATGGACTATACCACCAGGCTCCAGGCTCTATCGCTCCTACCAATCTGTTATTGGCATGAGTACCTTGACATGGTTCTCTTTTACAAGATTACCCACGGACTTGTAGACATAAATGAATCTCTCCTTCCAACAATCCGCACCTCCAGACAAACTAGATCTTCCACCAGTACTTCCACCAAATATGTCATTCCGAAATGCAAGACATCCACCTATCAACGATCCTTCTTTATCCGATCAACTCGGATCTGGAACCTCCTCGCCGATCAACTAAAACTGGACACATGTGGTTTCTCTACATTTAAAACTGTCATTTTTAATTATTACTCTATGTCATTAAGAACTTGTTACAATGTCAACGACCCTCGTTCGTACAAAACCATTTGTCCAAAGTGTAACTCTGTTCGTAGTCTTAGTATTCCAATCTCGTGCTGCATGTGAAAGACGTATTGTTGTTATTTTCATATGCTGTTTGTTGTTAGTTGATTATTGTATTTGTTAAATTTGTAATATTAGTTTTAATGTTAGTTTTACGGGGCCGTAGTAATTGGCTAAGTGCTGTTACGGACTCCCTGCCATTAATTGTAATATAGTTATCTACAAGGCAAAGCTAATAAATTAAATTAAATTAAATTAATCTCGCTGGAGAAAGTAAAAGATCTGAAACGTCAGAAATTATCGCAATAACCCTGATGTCTCCTGTTGAGGAACATGTTAAAAAACCTCTTCTGGTACATACTGTCAGAAAACCTTGTAGCAGTGCAAAAACAATATCGAAGAGTTCCTTAGAGAAATACAGACATCTCAAGCCAATCGTAGAAAACTTCATTTATCTGGCGGAAACGTTGATTTACTGATGGGAACTGATTTTACAGATGGATTTGTTGATGTTCATGTAATACCAGGTGAAACCAGTGAACCTATAGCAAAGATGAACTGTTTTGGCTAGTATGTCCTAGGCCAGCTTGCTCCTAACAAACAGAGTATACAGTCCATTGATGTTGGTACAATAAGTGTAAAGGAGAAAATTGACAATCTTCTGCAGCAAAATTAACTGGGTGTGACGCCAACGAAGTTTTGTACCTGCACAGACAACGAATTACGGGAAAAGAAGTTTGTACGATCGTTATCTGAATCAACTACCCTGGTAGACGGTCGTATTCAGGTGAAGATGCCGTGGAAGGAAATCGACCCACCTAAGAAAAGCAATTACGACATTGCCCTCAAGAAATGTATTCCACTGAGAAATCCCTTAAAGGAAAGAAATATACCGATGTTGTCGCTGAAGAAGTCCGGAAGCTGGTTGATCAAGGTTTTGTAATCAAGATCCCGTCAGAAAAAGTACATCACTCGAAGCTCGAAAGGTATCTGCCACTACAAGCGGTCTTCACTCCTGAAAAAAACAACAAAGGTGCGAATCGTTTTCGATTCCTCTTGCGAAAGTCACAATGGTCTTTCGTTGAATGATCATCTCGGAAAGGCCTAACTACATCAACGATATCCCAGAAGTCCTCGCAGCGTGGCGATGGGATAATATTGCATACGCAGGAGATGTGAGAAAGATGTTTAATCAAATCCTGGTACACCCGGATGATCAAGTCTTCCATAGATTGCTTTGGAGAGAGAAACCAACCGACGAACCTAATGTTTATCAATGGCTCCATTTAAGCTTGGTGACAAGCCAGCACCTGACATCGCCACTAAGTCGATTAAAGCTTAGCTGAAGCGGCACAACCTGAAGAACCTCAAGCAGCAGCCGAATTTTTACAACACGTGTACGTGGATGATGTTGCAGGATCCAGATCAACAGTTGAAGAAGTTCAGCAATGAACCACTGCAATTGATTCCATTCTTGAAAATGGCAAGTTTGAAATCAAAACCTGGCATGCGAACAGTACAGAAATCGACCAATCGGGAGGTGAAATGGTCACGGATCTACTTGGCCATAAGTGGGATAAAGAAGCGGACAAGTTTACTTTCAAAAGAGAGGAAATTCCCGAACTGTCTGAAACGCTAACAAAAATAAATAGTCTTGCACTCTTGGCTAAGCTGTGGGATCCTATTGGTATGATTGCACCCGTGACAATAAAATTCCGGATCGATTTACAAGAACTGTGGTGCTCAGGTTATGGGTGGGATGATGTCATATCAGAGGAAATTCAAAGAAAGTGGAAGGAGAATCTAAAAACAACGAATTATCTTCTATCGTTAGAATTTGACCGAAAGTTAAAACCGACCAATGCGAATTCTCCACCAGAAATCCACGGATTTTCCAAAGCCGGTGATCAAGCATACCGAGCAGTATTATTTCTCCGCTGGGAACTAATAGACGGTAGTTTTGTTTGTGTTCCAGTCATAATCAAGGCTTTCGTGGCTCCACCAAAGAAGGAGAGCATCCCTAGACTGGAGTTGTTAGGCAGTTTAACCCTTGCAAGAATTTACGACGCCTGTACGAAGATGTTAACGGTTGCTGATATAGATCAAGCCAAGAAATTCTTATGGATTGACTCGACAACGGTTTTATCCTGGATAAAGACCCCGCCCAAAGAGTTTCGACCTTTCGTATCTGCGCGAGTCGCCGAAATTCAGGAAAGTGTGGGTTCAGAGGACTTCTGTTACATTCCATCAAATGAAAACCGGGCTGATTCACTCGCTCGCGGACTTTACAACAAACGTACTTGCAGGGAGGTGAGTCCGAGATTGGACGCACCGAGGGTGGCTGGAAGTTTCCCGAACTTACCGAGCGAAGCGAGGTGAGTTCGGGAAACTTCCAGCCACCCGAGGTGCGTCCAATCCCAGACTCACCGAACCTGCAAGTACGTTTGGTTTTTATCCCATACACCGAGCCATACACACATTTGTAGCTCTTCGCGATATATTCGTCGATATTTTGTGAACATTTTCCCGGCCAAAAAAATCACTGGGCAAGAAAATACTTCTTTATCTACGTCTACACTACCTTTACTGCATTTTTTCTTTGGTTTTTCTTCAGTCTCAGTATGTTAGTCACTGAAAAGTTCTTTAAAGTTTAGGTTTATCGGCTAAATCTTGTCCGCCATATTTGTTATTGTTATTGCAACGTAAGCAGTTTAGCGGGTGAGTTCGGGCGAAAAGCAGGTGAGTTCGAAAAAAGCAGGTGAGCTCGACGACAAGCTCACCTGCTCTAAACCAATCAGAAAGCCGCTTTTAACACAGGTATGGGATAATATAACAAACGTACTTGCAGGGAGGTGAGTCCGGGATTGGACGCACCGAGGGTGGCTGGATGTTTCCCGAACTTACCGAGCGAATACACCGAGCCATACACACATTTGTAGCTCTTCGCGATATATTCGTCGATGTTTTGTGAACCTTTTCCCGGCCAAAAAAATCACTGGGCAAGAAAATACTTCTTTATCTACGTCTACATTACCTTTACTGCATTTTTTCTTTGGTTTTTCTTCAGTCTCAGTATGTTAGTCACTGAAAAGTTCTTTAAAGTTTAGGTTTATCGGCTAAATCTTGTCCGCCATATTTGTTATTGTTATTGCAACGTAAGCAGGTTAGCGGGTGAGTTCGGGCGAAAAGCAGGTGAGTTCGGCAAAAAGCAGGTGAGCTCGACGACAAGCTCACCTGCTCTAAACCAATCAGAAAGCCGCTTTTAACACAGGTATGGGATAAGATCCTGAACTTCTCAAAGATTGGTTAACCGGCCCATCATTCCTCAAGTTACAGGAAGCAGAATGGCTACATTCGAAAACCCAGTCTAAACCAGAAATCATTGATGCAGAAACCAAAAGAGAACTAAAACCCCAAAAGAAGCAACCAAAAGACAAGAAAGTTAACGTTAATCCAACCGTTAATGCCAACACAACCGCGGAAACGGACAATCATGAGAGCCATAGTCTGAGAAAACTACTGAATCGAAAGCGGAAAAATCCCATTCTGACACATTTACTAACGAGATGTTCTTCGTTCTCATCAAAAGTTTGACGGATTCTAGCCCATGTCAATCGGTTCGTTCAGAACGCAAGGCGTAATAAACAAACAGGAGCAATAACAGTCGAAGAACTGGAAAAAGCTGAAAAACAGCTATTTCGATGCAGTCAGTTTCAACTAAATGTCAACACTCTCAACAAGCAAATGAGCACAGACACGTTTCTGCTGGCATTCCCACGCTTTGCTTGTTTACGCGGACATCCCGACACGTGTTGATCAGATGCCGGAACAAATTTTGTTGGTGCACAACTTTACCTTGAAGAAATAATGCAAGATTGGGATATTCCGAGAATAAAGAGTGTCCTCTCAGAAGTGTTCACGTGCGACTTCAAGTGGAAATGGAATACTCCACATGCCAGTCATCAAACCGGAGCAGTTGAATCCCTCATAAAATCTGTGAGACAGGCTATGAATTTTACGTGCAAAGAACCAGCCTTTACTGAAGAGCAGTGGAGGAGATTTCTCGCTGAAATTACCTACCAGATTAACAGCCGACCTTTGTACCCCATTTCCGATAGTATTTGGGAAACTCCACCGATCAGCCCAAATGACATCCTTTTGGGTCAGGTCAGCACAACACACCGCCACAACCAGAATGGGAAGAAAGGGTAAACCCAAGAGATATGATCAGAAGCACAGAAAAGCGAGTAAATGATTTCTGGTGCTGTTGGATGAAATATTTTGCGCCAAACCTTCTACCAAGAAACAAGTGGTTCAGAACAAGAGAAAATGTGAAAGAAGGCGACCTTGTCTTAGAGTTGGATTCAAAGCATAAAAGATGCCAATGGAAGATGACGATCATTATTGGAACATATCCAGGAAACGATGGATGTAGGAGAAAGGTCCGAATAAAGAATTCCGATGGAGAATATGACCGGCCAATACACAAGCTTTGTCTTATCGCGACAAAGGAGGAACTAAATGACAAGGAGAACAAACTCGAATAGTTGTGTACATTAAGGAAATGTTACATTAGCATGTTGATATTTTGCCGTTGCTCAATTAAGTTCAAAGAACATTATTTCCGCACTGGGGCGAAGTGTTTCGAGCTACAGCCCTAAAAAACAGGACAGCCCGCATGCGGTTTTTGGAGGACCGGGAAGTGTGGTTTTTTGTTTTTAATACGAAGAACTATATGTTTTAATATTAGTGATAATATTTACCATCTTTCTACTAAAAAAAGGAACGAAACAACAGGGAAAGCTCACGAAAATTGTGAGTAACTGACTTATCATTTATAATCATTCAGTATAATCTTACACTTTATCAAGTAATTAATTGTAAACATATTTTTGTTTAATTTAGTTGACCTATTCGTCTTTGTCACTTTGTGTCGTGTATTGACACACCGATAATATATAAGATATAAAGTACAAAAACAAGTGTGGCCTACGTCCTTTGGAAAGTCCAAGTAAAGTAGCACTTCGAAACGAGAGTGCGAAACAGTACGCGTATTTTCGCAAGTGTTACATATCATGAAAAATCGGAGGTTTTTGTGCTTGTGCCATGTTATTGTTATTACTCGTGGAAGCAGAATGACAAGTCTACTTTATACTTAAATTTTAACATTATCACGTTTGCTGAATATCGTCAAATGTCGAAAGTTTATTAATCTATCACATATAAAATCGAACAAGTAAATGCAGTGTCTTAAAAGTTCAATTTCTCCCACAAATAAGCTTCTTTTCCTATTTTTGCACATCATACGATAGATACGTTGCATTGCTCATGTTACTGCTAATTGACAGTAAAAACTACCTTAAAAGTAGCCAGAAAAAGGGGTTCAAATAATCTACTTTTGAATGATTGAATATAGTTAAATGTGAGGCCCAATCCGAGGCACAATCTGAAGCCAAATCTGAGACCCAATCCGCGGTTACCTTCACAGTAGTTATTTTACCATGTTCAGAACATCAGACAATTGCGTAATTTGATAGTATATGATCTTGTTTGACTTTCGAAGGCCCATAAATCGCTAGAACGTTGACAATGACTATAACTACAGGGTGTATCAAAATAAACGCAATTCATTTTTGTGCTTAATAACTTTCGAAATACTATCTCTAGTTAAACGCTTTTAGGCTTACTTCAAAGTCTGTTCTTTTCTCTTTCAAATAAACTATTATCCTTGTCTCCAATGCTTGTAATAATTGCACAGGAAAAGATTTAGTAAAACCTATAATTTTTAGTTGCTGTTTAATTATGCTAGTTTACTATGTTATTGTTTAGTCGGTTTAAATGTTAGAATTTTCTTCTTTAAACTTTAATGTTGTCGTCACTACATCTGGAAAACCACGTAAGAACAAATTAAAAGTATTTTAAAAGAGACCAGGTTGTTTGAAAATCCTAAACGAATGCTAAAATCGTCAAAACATTCTGGTGTCTGAGCCAGAGTGTCATCGAATTGCGATGCAATGTAAACAGAAATTATAGCAAGTTGATGTCAGTCAGCTTAGATGGTCCAAGCCAAAATTATATCGCATTTGAAGTTTCAAACTGAGTTAAAAATAGTGGAAGAAAAGCCGTAATTATACTTATTGTTACAATCCATTCAATAAAATGCAACATTTTTTTGTTTTAATGAAAAAAACAGTTATTTTGATGAGAACGATTTGTTAATTCCATCTCAATTTTTTTAATCTCCAATCGCAATAACGTAAAGTATTATTACCCGCGAACCAATGAGTCAAATTTAAGAAACAACCCACTGTTAGAAAGCTGAATGGCTACGCTTTAAAATGAATGTAAACTTTAACGTTTTCGTCTATTATTTGTTTAGCAATTTACATTTCAGTCGAGGATTGCGCTTTTTTTGATACACCCTGTATAGTGAGGAATGAGTTGAATCGTTTATTTCCGAATCGAATAGTGGTATTTCTGTCTTCATAGCATGCACTCAACCGAAGATATGAAATTTCTAGCCGTCAACCTCTAGAAGTTAACGAGACTGGCTTGTGATTTAATTATAATATAGCATTTGTAAATTCTGAACGCTGATTGGCTAAGAGGCGACGAACGCTGATTGGCTAGATGTCAACACGGAAACGTCGGAAAATTTCTTTCTTTATGTTTCGTTGTGCTATATTATAAAGTTTCCACACAATTTATCGTTTTCCCAATTTCCACTCGTGTTGATATAACTGTATATCAGGGCGAAGGGAGAGAGGGCGTAGAAACGGCCATACATCGAGCGGACCCATCCGTGATGCGGGCTTCGCGGGGGGTAAGACGTTCTAATTGTAAACAAATATGGCTACGCGTATATGACCCATCAGAAGG